TTGGGGGTGATTTCTCCCTTTCTATCTCTCTGTCTTTCTCAGTTTTTCTGGCGAACACATGCACCCTGTAGCAAAAACCTCTAAAAAAAAAAAAGTTTTTGCACCAGTCTCACTAAAACAAACATAAGCATAATGATGTGCATAAGGGCTCTGAACTTCCTAATCCGTGAAAGTAGAATCATCTCAACGGCGTTTCTTGTTTCTTTAGCTGGATAGGAGGATATCAAAAATTTCCTGCACCATAGGTGCTATATAATATTCTCTCTTCTTTTTTCTTGGAGAGGTTTTTGCTATAGGGCGCATGTGCTCACCAGAAAGACAAAGAGACAGAGAGACAGAAAGCAAGAAATCACTCCCCAGGAGGGATGGCCACACTACAATCCCTTCTCTTCCATTCTTCTCTCGAGATCTTGGGCACGCACGCACACACACTTGGCATGAGTTTAAGCCACCAGGTCCAGGACTCAAACCGCGGTCAACTACATGACAGTCCAGCGACATAGCCATTCGCTAACTGCTGGTCCCACTATATAATATTTGGAAAATTGCAGTAAAGTTACAAACTATGATTTGGAGCCCATGCTTGCTTAACAGTTGAGATACTTGGAGCTCTCCCATGCAATGTCAGTTTTCTCACCTCCTCGTCAAGAATGGTTGCCTAAATATAAATGGAGGAGCCAGCGGGTGGCAGTGGGTAAGGCCACTGGATCCCACATGACCAACTATGCAGTTTTAGTCCTGGACCAAACCACTTGAAAAACATACCATGTGCGTGTGTTCGGGTGCCCTAAATCCCTGGAGGAGAAATGATTCCCTGTCCCTGCATGTGTTTTCTCATGCCCTCTCTCCTGAGTGCATGTTTCCTGTAGCAACTATTTGTTTTTTTTTTTTTAGGTTTTTGCCATAAGGCATGTGTGCTTGCTGGAGAGAGACAGAGAGAGACAGTGAGAGGGAAAGTGAGAAGTCATCACCTCATGGGGTATGGCCATGTTGCAATCCCTCCTCTACTTTCCTCCTGCGGTTTTGGGCATGCATGCATACATGCATGGTGTGATTTTCAAGTCTCCAGGTCCCAGACTGGGAGTCCAGCCATGTAACCACTATGCCATCTGCTGGCCCCAAGCAAAAAAAGGTATTTAAAATTTAAATGGAAATATGAGCTTTTAAAGTTACTCCTAAAAATAACATTTTCTTTGGGGATTTAACTACTAAAAATGGACATTTAAATGAAGTAAAAGATATTTATCAGAATTCTTACAAGAAGGTGTATTTAAAGAAAAAATTGTTTTGGAAGGGCCAGCAGATGACATAGCAGTTATATCACTGGACTCCCACATGGCTAATTGTGGTTCAAGTCCCGGACCCAGTGACTTGAAAATCATGGCACATGTGCATGCGTGCCCAAGATCCCAGGAGGAAAATGGAGGAGAAGGGATTGCAGCATGGCCATCCCCCCACTAGGTGACTTCTCACTTTCCCTCTCACTGTCTGTCTGTCTCTTTCTCTCTAGTGAACGCACACACCTAAGGCAAAAACCTCTAAAAAGATTTATACACACACACATATATATATCATTTTTAAAAATGTCTGCACATGTTTATACAGATACACCCAATTTTAAAAAATATTTTCTTTGGGCAGGTGACATAGTGGTTGGGGTGCTGGACTTCCACATGGTCGACTGTGGTTCGAGTCCTGGACCCAGCAGCTTGAAACTCACACCAGGTACATGTGTGTGCATGCCCAAAATCCTGAGAGGAGAATGGAGAAGGGATTGTGGTGTGGCCATCTCCCCTGGGGGGGTGACTTCTCACTTTCTCTCTATCTCTCCAGCAAGCACACACAACCTAGAGCAAAAAACCTTTTTAAAAAAAATTTTTTTTTCTTCTTTGGGCCAGCAGATGGGATGGTGGTTAGGGCCCTGGACTCCCACATGACTGACCATGGTTCAAGTCCTGGGCCTGGCGACTTGCTTTCTCTCTCTCCCTCTCTCTGTGTGTCTCCCTCTGATGAGTGCATGTGCCCTATAGCAGATTAAAAATAATAGTGATGCTCTCTTCCTCGACGCTCCTGTGGAGGTGGTGGCCATCTCCTACCTGCCATCATGGCCACCCTCAGACCCCTCTCAACGCCCAAAATCGTCAAAAAGAGGACCAAAGAGTTCATCCGGCACCAGTCAGAACAATATGTCAAAATTATGCCTAATTGGCAGATTCCTAGGGGTATTGACAACAGGAGGAGATTCAGGAGCCAGATCTCGATGCCCAGCATCGGTTATGGGAGCAACAAGAAAACCCAGCACATGCTGCCCAGGGCTCCCAGAGTTCCTGTCCACAGTGTGAGGAGCTGGAGCCGGCCGTGCTGCTGCCGTGCAGGGAGTCTGTGCTGAGTGCGCTCACAGCGTTTTCTCCAAGAACTGCAAGGCCACCGTGGGAAGAGCAGCCCAGCTGGCCGGCAGGGTCTCAGTCCCAATGCCAGGCTGGGCAGTGAAGAAAGTGGGCAGACAGCTGGCGTGCACGTTTTATTTTGTTTCTCAATAAAACCACAAACTTCCCCAAAATTAATAATAATAATACATGAAATTAAATCATTCTTTAAAAACCATTTTCTTCAAGTTTATATATTTATTTCTTCCATGAAAGAGAGAGAAAGAGAGGGAGAGAGCGAGAAGCACCCCAACAGGGTCTTCATGCCACTAATTCACCCCAGCCTGAGCCATTCAGGATCACAGTGTGACCAGCACGTGCAGGGGGACCTGGGAACGTGAACCTGGAACCTTCCCGCATGGCTTCAGCACAGTGGAGCACTCTGCCACCATGGCTGGCTCTTTTTTTTTTTTTTTTTTTTTTAAGTATTCTCCATATGTGGTTGGTTGAATCTGTGGATATGGGAGACAATGCTTTTCAAAAGATAAAAGAATTGATTAAAAAAAAAGTTTATTCTCAGGGCCAGGAGGTGTTGTGGTGGATAAGGTGTTGGGCTCCGACATGGCTGACTGTGGTTCAAGTCCCAGACCTAGTCACTTGCTTTCTCACTCTCTCTCTCTCTGGTGAACCCATGTGACCTATAGTAAATTTTAAAATAATAATAAGGGACCAGCAGGTGGCATAATGGTTACATTGCTGGACTCCCTCATAGTCTAGGACCCAGTGGCTTAAAATTCATGTTGGGGGGGCCAGCAGTTGGCATAATGGCAGTGTTGCTGGACTTTGATGTAGTCAACTGTGGTTCAAGTCCCGAACCCGGTGGCTTAAACTTACCATGGGTGTACGCATGTGTGTGTGTGTGTGTGTGCCCAAGATCCTGAGAGGAGAATGGAAGAGAAGGGATTATGGTTTGGCCATCCTCCCCAGGGGGGTGATCTCTCACTTTCTGTCTCTCTGTCTCTCTCTGTCTTTCTGGCGAGCACATGCACCCTATAGCAAAAACCCAAAAACCTCTCAAAAAAAAAAAACCAAAAGTTCACACTGGGCGCATGTGTGTGAGTGCCCCAAATCCCGAGAGGAGAATGAAGGAGAAGGAATTGCAGTGTGGTCCTCCCTCCTGGGGAGTGATTTCTCACTTTCTGTCTCTCTGTCTCTGTCTCCCTCGTGAGTGCATGTACCCTATAGCAAAAATCTCTCTAAAATTTTAAAAATAAAATAACATAATAATTAATAAAATTAAATAAATGTTTTTTTAATTTTTCATTAAAAAATAAACTTATTTTCTGGGGCTACTAGGTACTGTGGTGGTTAAGATGCTCACTCCCACATGGTCAACCATGGTTCAAGCCTGGGACCTGTCTTCTCTGGTGAGTGCATGTGCCCTATACCAAATTTTTTAAAAATTATTTCTTCATTTAATTGTATTTGCTATTATTATTATTATTATTATTATTTGACCAAAGAAACAGAAAGAGAGAGAGAGAAAGGGGAAAGTGAGAAAATAAGCCACCAGGTCCAGGACTTGAACTGTGGTTGACCATGTGGGAGTCCAACACCTTAACCACCACACCACCTGCCAGTCCCATCTATACCAAATTTTTATAAAACAATAATAAAAATAAGTAAGTGATTCTTTTTTTTTTAAAGCTTATTCTCAAATATCTTCATCTCAAAATAATTTTTGTGCCACAGTGGTGTATTCTGCACCTGTTCCACACCGTGGAAATTCACCTGTTCCATGAAAAAGTCATTGGCAGAGGCCCCTAACAACAGAATCTAGAGAAATTTGTGTTTTTGTTTTGTTTTGTCTTAGATTTTTTGCCATAGAGTGCATGCATTTGCCAGAGAGAGATAGAGAGGGTGACAGAGAGAAGGAAAGTGAGAAATCATCCACCAGGGAGGAGGGCCATGCCACAATCCCTTCTCCATTCTTCTATCTGGATTTTGGGCACACACACACACACACACACACACACAAGGTTTTCAGGCCACTGGGTCTGGGAATTGAACCTGTAGAGTTGGCCATGTGGGATGTAGCACCTTAACCACCATGCCATCTGCTGGCTGAACTTGGTCTCTTTATCTATGAAGTGGAGGAGATAAGTGCTCCCTCCGAGGATCATTGCAAGCATTTGCTGGTACAGAGCAAGCCCACAGCAATTGTAAATGGTCTAACCCTTGAACACATGGGCCCTGTCAGCTAGCTGTCCCATCTGAGAGTTTGGCAGAAGAGGAGAGACCAAAGCAGGACCCCGGTAAGTTCGGAGGCAGGGCAGTGGACATGGGTGATTATAACTCCCCACTAGAGGCACACGCTTGCACATGCATGTGTCTGCCTATCACTCTGAAAACTCAAGGGACTGGAGGGCATCCTAGGGAAGGGTGACTACACCCCAGAAATAGGTTTCTAGCCCCGTGGGGCCTGCTTCACAGCCTGGTCTCCAGCCTCCACGCCACTCAGCCTCATAACTGATCTGCTATGCTTCTGACCTTCTGATGCCTGCCCTGGCGGGTCCAAGTCTGGAGGTTGTGTCAAGGAAGAGCTGACTCGGCAAGAACACGCGGGAGGCTGCGGAAGGTTGCAGGAGGGCTTTAATTGCCAAGAGCCCAATCGGAAAACAGGGGCGCTGGTCAAGGAGGCGGCCAGACGAGGAGAGGCGTGGAGGACGAGCCAAGGCCTGGGCCTGGGTCCCGCAGCGAGCTGGGCTGAGCGCGGGCTGGAAGGGCGGTCTCACTGCTTGGAGCTGGAGCGCCCGGCATCGAGGCAGGTGCCGAAGTTGGTGTTGGTGATGGAGCCCACGATGGTCTTGTCCCCCTCGCAGGTCAGGCCCCGCTCGCAAGGACACTTGTAGTAGACTCCATAGAGCGTCTGCGGAGACGCGAGCAGGGGAGGCACAGCGGGCCAGGCTTCTCAGGGGGCGCGTCTCCTGGCTGTCTCCCCAGGGGGCGCTGTGGGCCTGGGGGACCCTGCTGGCCACCCCTGAGTCTCACGCATACTAACTTGACCTCTCCAGGGAGCCTCTAAGCACCCACCCACGAAATGGAGATGAGCACCCCTGCCCTGCCCATCTCACTGGTCGGTCGGGAGGATGAAGGGAGAGGAGGGGATGGAAGCTGCTCGGCCGTCCTGAGTTCCCTCTGCTTATTGCCCACACTGTGTCCAGGCCGCCCCTCCTCCACGCCCCCACCCTGCCAGCTGCCGGGCACCCACCTTGGCAGAGCACTCGCTGTTCTCGCTGGCCTTGGGTGCGCAGCGGGCCAGGCTCAAACCAGTGTCGCGGTGACAGCACTTGCTCTTGCACTGGAGGCTGTTCAAACAGAGCTCGCCGTCGTCCTGCAGGGGCGGGGGTTCAAGTCGGCCAGGACTCCTCGTCTGGGTGGCACCCAGACGCACACCCTACCACCCACTACACTGACACTGCCTCCCCGGTAGGGGCGTGTGAAGGAGCCCACCTGAGTCTGGTGGCTTCTCTGCGTCCCCACCCACAGGAGTGAGCGGTTTGTGGCAGAGAAGCAGCCCCGGGCTGGGAGCCAGGACCCACGGGGTCTCACAGTGACTGTGCCGTGACTCCCTGGGTGACCCGGGGTGATAGTGCCAGCCACCCCCCGCCCCGGGCTCAGTGTTCCCTCCCTGAATGTGGCCCCAGTGTGTGGGCTCCAAACTTCTCTGGGTCCCACACTCCTTTAGGAACTCGTGAACATTGGCGACCACCTCCTCCCCGCAAGGCTCCTCCCTCCCTCCTGGACTTTGACACCTCATCTCAGGGTGACCCTGGGCCCTTCAAGTCCATCTGTGGCCCAGAGTTAAGACCCTTTGAATTGCGTGGGTGGCCTTGGAGGTTTTTCCCGGTGTGACTCAAGGAGAGGAGGCAGTGTGGGGCAGTGGTGGGAGCATGGAACAGGGGCCCGCAGAGGCCAGTCCCTGACCCACTACATTTTAGCCGCGTGAACCTTGGGCAGGTTGCTCGGCCTCTCTCTGGTCGGAAAACCGGGTTAATAACAGTCCCTGCATCGGTGTTGTTGTGAGGACAGACGTGCATGTTTCTCAGGCAGCCACGGTGTCTGGCGCCCAGTAAATGTGCCCCTGTCGGTGCACAGCTGGAGTCCTGGGGGAGGCTTTCCAAACCTGTGGACTTGCTAAACCACTGGAGGCTCCAGGACTATGGTTTTGCTTTCCTGTCCGTTTTGTTGTTGTTGTTTTGTTTTTAGAAATAAAAGTGGTTTATCTGAGCCAGGGCTTAGAACCTACCACCTGGATGAGCAAATTTCTAGTTTCCCAGATACGTGCTCATCAAAATGGTCTGCATGGGACCAGCAGTTAGTGTAATGGCTATGTCGCTGGACTCCCACGTAGTTGACCGCGGTTTGAGTCCCGGACCCGGGGGCTTAAACTCACGCCAGGCACGTGTGTGTGCGTGCCCAAGATCCCGAGAGGAGAATGGAGAAGGGATTGCAGTGTGGCCATCCCCCCTGGGGGGTGATTTCTTGCTTTCTGTCTCTCTGTCTTTCTGGCAAGCGCACCTGCCCTATAGCAAAAACCTCTCCAAAACAACAATGAAAAAAATGCAGATTTCCAAACCAGATCCTAAATCTGAGAATGCCAAAGGTGGGTCCTAAACCTATCAATCGGTGCTGTTGACTGGAAACTGTTTTCTTTTGATGTCACAGTTATATAAAGTATAAGACAAAGGCAGAAGGGAAGGAGAAAGAAAGCACTCTTCAACAGGGATTGGTCACACAAATCCTTTTTCCTTCAAGTCTCTATCCCATCAGGATCCTGGGTGGGCACTAAAAAAAAAAAAAAAAAGAAAGAAAGAAAGAAAGAAAGAAAGAAAAAACCTGTCTGTGCGTGTGTGCTCCCGATGGAGCCTGGGAGGGGCTGATCAGCCATTCCTGGCCCCCAGGGAGAGGCGAGGACCACGACAGGTACAGGCAGTTAAGGAAGAGATGCCGCCCTCCCAGCCCCCGTCAGAGGTCCAGACCCAAGCTTACAAAGCCTCCCTGGGGACTAAATGGCTCCTCCCCCTGAAGACCCTCTTACCAAGGCGATGATGATTCCCCGGGGGTCCGGAACTGCGTAGGTCACCGCCAGGATGACGAGCAGGAGGGCGAGGATCTTCTCCATGGCGAGGGCACGGCTGGGGTGGGTCACAGCTGGCAGCGAGGTGGCAGAAGACAGAGCCAGCCTGGGTGGTGGGGCCATAAAAGGAGCCCTGTGCACACGTGACCCTGGGTGCACACGTGGGGTGTGCCGTGAGCAAAGGCACAGCTGTGGCCCACCTGCAGGGACTGGGGTCCTGATAAGGTCCTAGGCAGGCACCTGGTAGCCTTTCGCGGTGTGCGTGTGTACGCGCTGGTGGTGCCACGTTGTGGCTAAGCCTGTGGACTTTTAACTGTGTAAGTTACCAGCTGGGCAAGTTACTTAACTGTTCTGGCCCTCAGTCTCTTTATCTGTCCACTGAGGATCATTTCAAGAGTTTGAAGGAGGAATTAACATACATATGTCTGTGTTACATACAATAACTTTGAAACTAAGTATACACAACTGTGTATGTTATAAAAATGTTGGCCTGGCGCATGATATATTGCCAGATTACTGGGCATCTAGGGCAGGCCAGTCCTGGGGCCACTGGCTCTGCGACCCCCGGCCAGAGCGTGTGCGTGTTCCCACCCTGGTGTGTCTCCAGCTGCCTTTGCACGGGGCGCTGCCTGTGGTAGGGTTCAGGGACCTTTAGGAGATCCTCCTTTTTTTTTTTTTTTTGAGAGATTTTCACTATAGGGCGTGTGCGCTTGCCAGACAGACAGAGAGAGACATTAGACACAGAAAGCGAGAAATCACCCCCCAGGGGGGATGGTCACGCCGCAATCCCTTCTCCTCCATTCTCCTCTCGGGATCTTGGGCACGCACGCACACGCGCCCGGCATGAGTTTTAAGCCACCGGGTCCAGGACGCGAACCGCGGTCGACTACGTGGGAGTCCAGCAACATAGCCATTACGCTAACTGCTGGTTCCCCCCCCCCCTTTTTTTTATAGCTGCAATTATAGCATCAAAGATTCATCTTTTGGGGCCAGCAGGTGGCACAGAGGTCTAGGCGGCAGAATCCCACATGGCTGATTGCACGGTTCTAGTCCTGGATACAGCAGCTTGAAAATCACGCTGGGCACGTGTGCGCACGAGGAGGACGGAGAGAAGAGATTGTGGCGTGGCCGTCCCACTGGGGATGCTTTCTCACATTCCCTCTCTCTCTCTCTGGAGAACACATGCAGCCTACAGCAAATTAAAAACAATTTAAAAAATCGTGGTATATCTTAAATATATAAAAATTTTAAAAAGAAAACGAGACTCCTCCTTTGATGAGTCGTTCGCTTTCATCCTTTAGTGAAGGCTTCTGCTCACCCCGGCCCCAGCCAGGACCGTGTGAGAGCGAGCAGTCACTTGTCCTGCTGCAAATGAGTCCAGCGAGCCCCAGGAGGACCCAGGGCTGGAGGCTGGGAAGGGCGCAGCTGCCTGAGTGTGCTCAGGTGTGAGAACAGGGCAGCTTGTCCTGAAGGACTGGTCCTTGCAGCCAGAGGTCACCTCACCCCCGCACTTCCCAGCCCATCCTCCACCCCTGGAGGCACAAGGCAGCTTCACATAAGGGCATAGATAGAGTTGCCTTTCTCTCTTCCTTCCTTTCTTTCTTCCTTTCTCTTTCTCTCTCTCTCTCTCTTTTTAGAGGTTTTAGTCTTAGAGCACATGCTCTCACCAAGGAGACAGAGACAGTGAGAGGGAAAGTGAGAAATCACCCCCCCAGGGGAATGGCCACACCGCAATCCCTTCTCCTTCCTCCTGCTGGGATCTTGGGCACGCACACACATGACTGGCCTGCCCTAGATGCCCAGTAATGTGGCAATATATCACGCGCAAGGCCAACATTTTTATAACGTACATAGTTGTGTATATCTAGTTTCATATTTATCGTATGTAACACATACTTATGTATGTTAATTCCACCTTCAAACTCTTGAAATGATCCTCAGTGGACAGATAAAGAGACTGAGCCAGAACATTCTTTTTCTTTTTTTGGAGATTTTTGCTATAGGGCATGTGCACTCGCCAGACAGACAGAAAGAGACACAGAGAGACAGAAAGAGAGAAATCACCCCCCAGGGGGGATGGCCACACCACAATCCCTTCTCCTCCATTCTCCTCTCGGGATCTTGGGCACGCACGCACACGCGCTCGGCGTGAGTTTAAGCCACCGGGTCTGGGACTCGAACCGTGGTCAACTATGTGGGAGTCCAGAGACATAGCCATTGCGCTAACTGCTGGTCCCAAAATTGTATATAAATTATTATCCAACTGTGTAAAGTAGCATGCCCAGAAGTAGGGAAATGCTTTGAAATGAACAGAAGCTATTTTAACAGAAGTTATTTACAGAAGTAATTTTAACAGAAGTAATTTTAATATATACTAATAACCATTTTTTTAGAAGTTTTTTTGCCTTAGGGCACATGCACTCACCAGAGAGAGAGAGATAGACAGTGAGAGGGAAAGTGAGAAATCACCCCCCGGAGGATGGCCACACAGCAATCCCTTTTCCTCTATTCTCTTTCCAGGATCTTGGGCACGTACGCACATGTGTCCAGCCTGAGTTTCAAGCCACTGGGTCGGGGACCTGAACCATGGTTGGCCATGTGGGAGCCCAGCGACCTACCTGCTAACCTGCTAGTCCCAGTAGTAACCATTTTGGAGCACTTTTTATGTGGGCTAAACGTTTTCCACGCCTTATGGAAAATGATGGTGGTGTACCTAACCCTTATGTGATAGACACTCACTGCAGAAGGAGAAACTGAGGCCCACGGAGAAGGCCCCTTGGCCAATAAGTGGCTGACTCAAATCCAGTAGCTATCAAAAGTTGAAGTCCATTTTTAAAAAAGGATTTATTTTATATTTATTTGTTCATTTATCTATTTATTTGTTGTAAGTTTTCAAGCCACTGGATCTGGGACTCGGCCATCTGGGAATCCAGCACTGTAACCACCATGACATCTACTGGCCCTGAACTCTATGTTTTAAGATCATCTTGTCTTTCCTTAGCTCCTGATGTTGAGGTTACCAATGATTTTTATTATTTTGTGTATGATTTGCTAAATTTTTCCATCCTAGCCGTGTATTTACCTATAAAATCAGGAGTAAAAAAGAACAGAAGCACCTGATGGGGCATAGGCATCCTACAATCCCTTTTCTCAAATCCTCCTTTGGGGATTTTGGGCACACACATGCACCTGGTGTGATTTTCAAGCCACTGGGTCTGGGACTTGAACTGGACTGTCAGCCGTGTAGGATCTACCTGCCTTAACCACACCACTAGCTAGCTCAACATACATATTTTAAAAGAAAAAGAGAAATATGTAATGAAAACATAATCAAGGGACCAGCAGTTAGCGTAATGGCTATGTCGCTGGACTCCCATGTAGTCGATCACAGTTCAAGTCCCAGACCCGGTGGCTTAAACTCACTCCAGGCACGTGTGCGTGCGTGCCCAAGATCCCGAGAGGAGAATGGAGGAAAAGGGATTGTGGCATGGCCATCCCCCTTGGGGGGTGATTTCTCACTTTCTGTCTCTCTGTCTCTCTCTGTCTGGCAAGCACATACACCCTGTAGCTAACACCTCTCCAAAAAATAAATAAATAATCAAAAGGAGAGAAACATTATCTTGAACAAAGAGCACATGGTAAGTCTGAAAATGCTTATAAGAATGTCCTTTCCTATACTTTGTGGTTGCTTCTGTTACACACTAACAACCTGCATATGTTACACCTGTATAAAGTACACATATACAAACATTACTTGTAAATATCTCGCTATCTTTTTTATTCTCTTTTTTTTTTTTTGGAGAGATTTTCACTGTAGGGCGCGTGCGCTCGCCAGACAGACAGAGAGAGACATAGAGACAGAAAGCGAGAAATCACCCCCCGGGGGGATGGTCACGCCGCAATCCCTTCTCCTCCATTCTCCTCTCAGGACGCCGCAATCCCTTCTCCTCCATTCTCCTCTTGGGATCTTGGGCACGCACGCACACGC